TATCTTTATCCATTCATCTATTGATGGACACTTAGGTTGCTTTCATATCTTGGCTATTGTAAATAATGCTGCAATAAACAGGGATGCATATATCTTTTTGAATTAGTGTTTTGTTTTCTTTGGATAAATACCTAGAAGTGATATTACTGGATCTTATGATACTTCTAGTTTTAGTTTTTTGAGGAAACTCCATATTGTTCTCCACAGTGGCTGCAACAATTTAAATTCTTAACAAGAGCACATGAGGATCCCTCTTCTTTATATCCGTTTCAACACTTGTCATTTCTTGCCTTTTTGATACTAGCCATTCTGACTGGTGTGAGGTGACATCTCACTGTGGTTTTGATTTGCATTTCCCTGATGATTTGTTATGTTGAGCATCTTTTCATGTGTCTGTTGGTCATCTGCATGTCTTCTTTGGAAAAATGTCTATTAGGTCCTTTGCCCATTTTTAATTGGATTATTTGCTTTTTAACCCATTAATTACTTAGAAGTTATTTTAAAATTTCCAAATATGTTTTATTATTATTTCTTTTATCAGATTGTGACCAGAGAATGTGTTTTGTATATCAACTCTTGTGATTTGTGGAGATTTGCTTTGTGGCCTTGTACTTCAATTCTCCAAAATGTTCTGTGTTTGCTTTATAAGAGTATATATTTTCTAATTTTTGAGTTCAGGGGTCTAAATTTGTTCAGTAACTTATTTTGTTTATTGTGAAGTTTGGTCTTCCATATCTTTGCCAGTATTGTTTTTCAACTTAATAGAAAAAAACTTCCATTATAACTATGGATTTATTAATTTTTCTTTGTGATTCTGCCAGTTTTTACTTTACATAGATAGAAACTCTGTTATTAAGTGCCTACAAGTATTGTTATTTTCCTAGTTATTTTTTTCTCATTCTTTAGTTATCTTACCCTTTTATCTCAAATAATGCATTTTGCCTTCAGTCAATTTCATCTGGTATTACTATAGGCATACCAGCTTTCTTTTGCTTAGTATTTGCCTGCTACAAGTTTTCCATCCTTCCACTTTCAAGATTTTTGGGTCCTTGTGTTTAGATGTCTTTTTGATAATATATAGTTAGATTTTATTATTTTATCCAGGTTGAGAATCTCTGCTGCTTTAAAAACTAGTTTAATATTTGTTGTGGTTAAAAATGGACTTAGAAGGGCAAAGGATTTGAACAGATTTGAGGCACCAAGGAAGATATGTGGAAGAAAATAGTGTTTAGAAATAATGCTCAACACCATAAGTCACTGGAGAAATAGAAATTGAAACCACGGTGACATGTACCACTACATATCTATTGGAATGGCAATAGCAGCAATAACAAGCCTGATAATACCGAGGGCTGGTAAGAATGCAGTGAGAATGCAAAATGGTACAGCCACTTTGGAAAACAGTTTAGGAGTTTCTTATAAAGTGAAACATACACCTGCCATATGACCCAGCTATTCCACTCCTATGTATTTACTGAAGCTAAATGAAAGCTTGTTTACACTAAAACCTCTGTGTGAATCATTTTTATAGCCGCCTTATTCATAATCTGAAAAGTCTAGAAACAACTCAAATGCTCTTCAGCTCATGAATGAATAAACAAATTGTGACACATCTTATAATGGAATATTACCCAGCAATGAAAAAGGAGCATTAAGGGCCGCAACATAGAAGAATTTCAGGTGCCTTATGCTAAGAGAAGGAAACCAGACTCAAAAGGCTACCTATGTATAATTCTATTCATAGAGCTTCCTTCTAGCAAAGGCAAACCAGTAGGTTTGGAGAACAGATCATTTGTTGCCAGGGACTGGGGAGAGGGAAAGGAATTAACTACAAAGGGTCAACATTTATTTGTTTATTTTTTGAGACAGAGGGAGACAAAGAAGGGGGGTAGGGGCAGAGGGAGAAGGAGAGAGGGTCTTTTTTTTCTTTTAAGATTTTTTAAATTATTTATTTATTTGACAGAGAGAGAGAGAAAGAGAGAGCGAGACAGCGGGGGAACAGGAGAGGGAGAAGCAGGTCCCCCGCTGAGCGGGGAGCCTGATGCGGGGCTCGATCCCAGGACCCTGGGATCATGACCTGAGCCGAAGGCAGCCGTTTAAATGACTGAGCCACCCAGCCGCCCCAGGAGAGAGGGTCTTAAGCCGACTCCGCACTGAGCATGGAGCCCAATGCGGGACTCCATCTCATAACCCTGAGGTCACAACCTAAGCCGAAACCAAGAATCAGATACTTTAATGGACTGTGCCACCCAGGCACCCCAAGGACATTTTTTGAGGTGATCTGTTTTGTTTCTTAATTGTGGTCATGGTTACATGACTGTATGCATCTGCCAAAACTCATATAACTCTCTATCAAAAGAATGAATTTCACTGTATGTAAATTAAAAATAAGTTTTAAAAAATCAAAAGAAATAGGGGCACCTGGGTGGCACAGTCTACAGTCCTAAGTTGGTTAAGCATCTGCCTTCGGCTCAGGTCATGATCCCAGGGTCCTGGGATTGAGTCCTGCATTGGGCTCCCTGCTCAGTGGAGAGCCTGCTTCTCCCTCTCTCTCTGCAGCTCCCCCAGCTTGTGCTCTCTCTCTGTCAAATAAATAAATAAGATCTTTAAAAAAATAAAAAAAATAAAAAATAAAAAGAAATAGATTTGGATTTGTTTCTCAATATAATTTTGTACTTTGCCCTTACCATGCTTTTCCTTTGCTTCTTATTCTTTCTTCCCTTCTCAATCAAGTCGATTTTTCAATTGTCTTTGTCCTTTAATTCCTTCTTCTTTTTTAAAAGTTTTATATTCTATTTCTATTTTTGAGGCAGACACTGCTGATTGCCTATCTGATATGCATTCTCTCTTTCTTTCTCATTAACATAAACTCACTAGATTTTGCTTGGTATGGTAGTGGGCCCAGTGTGAATTGTTCTATTTCCCAGCAAGGGGTAGCTGTGTAGCCTCAGAAGAGAGTGTGGCTAATGAAATGTATACAAATGTCTGTTGAATAAGGCTTCTAGAAAGCCCTTAATAAGAGGGCCAAATCAGCCAGCATGTCCTCTTTGCCCTTTGTTTTACTTCTCTTTCTGCCTGCAGCCCTGCAGATCAACACTGAGGAAACCAGGCAATGTTTCACACAGAAGCAGGAAAAATTTGCATTCCATTTTAAGAACATTTTGATGTTGGGACCTATTAAGTTGGACTAGCAATAAGAAATATTAGTGAATTGTTCTTGTAACAATGAGATAGACTCTCTTTAGTTTGGAAGGGATGGTTTTTTTGAGGCAGGTAACCTAGAATACCTTTTGAAATTATTTTTCAGAGTAATCATATAAAGTATATAACTAAGATCTGATTCTTCCATAAGTAAATGCAGTCATGCCATCCTTAAATGTTAAATTAATACTGTGTTATGAATTGGTTTCACAGGTCTTGTTAACAGCATTAATTAGCTTTGTTGTGGCATTCATCATAATTGGATATGTGGTTCTGAAATTCAATAGAGATTTGTGGGATTTGCAGTCTTCCCTACTCTTTAGCATGACCCTTGGCATGACAGATCCTGTTCATTCTGTGAATTCACTGAAAACTATTGGTATGTCAGATTTATTTCTCTCTCTTACCTTGAATATATAGAGATAAATTATTTTCTTTTGATCTTGGTGAGTTTTTTTTTTTTTTTTGCATGATTTGTGCATCCAGCGGAGTAGATATTTATGCTATTTTTCTTGGAGATGGGGCATTGATGGACTTGAAAGATGCAATGCAAATAGGCAACCCAAGACGTGGGATAAAGAGCACCAATTATAATCTCAAAGAATTTTTTCAAGAAGAAAAGTAACCTTTCTAGTAGGTGATAAAAATTAGCATTCTTTTTCCATTCCACTGAATTCTAAGCCTCAAGGTAGAAACTCTGTCCTACCCCAGTGAAACTTTTCCAAGGCCTTGCTACCTCTTGTTAGATCTGCCTCCCTTTTGATGTGCACTCCATTATTACTATTTAACATAGTACTGGAAGTCTTAGCCTTAGCAATCAGACAACAAAAAGAAGTAAAAGTCATCTGAATGGACAAGGAAGAAATCAAAACTTCACTCTTTCCAGATGACATAATACTCTAGGTAGAAAACCCAAAATACTCACCAAAAAAATTGCTAGAACTAATACATGAATTTAGCAAAGTTGCAGGATATAAAATCAATGTGCAGAAATCTGTTGTATTTTTATACACCAATAATGAAGCAGCAGAAAAAGAAATCAAGGCATTGATCCCATTTGCAATTGTACCAAAACATTAAGATACCTAGGAATAAACCTAACCAAAAAGGTAAAAGATCGGTACTCTGAAAACTATAGAACACTTATGAAAGTAATTGAAGAGGACATACAGAAATGGAAAAGCATTCCATGCTCATGGACTGGAAGAACAAACATTGTTAAAATGTCTGTACTTCCCAAGGCAATCTACACATTTAATGCAATCTGATCAAAATAACACCAGCATTTTTTGCAGAGTTAGAGCAAACAGTCTAAAATATGTATGGAACCACTAGAGACCCAGAATAGAATCCTGAAAAAGAAAAACAAAACTGGAGGCATTACAATTCCAGATTTCAAGCTCTATTACAAAGCTCTAGTCATCAAGACAGTATAGTACTGGCACAAAAACAGACACATAGATCAATGGAACAGAATAGAGAACCCAGAAATGGACCCAAAACTATATGGTCAACTAATCCTCAACAAAGTAGGAAAGGATATACAATGGATAAAAGACAGTCTCTTCAACAAATGGTGTTGGGAAAACTGGACCACTCTCTTATACCCTACACAAAAATAACTTCAAAATGGATGAAAAGACCTAAATGTGAGACAGCAAACCATCAAGATCCTAGAGGAGAACACAGGCAGAAACCTCTTTGACTTTGACTGAAACGACTTCTTACTAGACACATCACCAGAGGCAAGGGAAACAAAAGCAAAAATGAACATTGGGACTTCATCAAGATAAAAAGTTTCTGCACAGTGAAGGAAACAATCAACAAAACTAAAAGGCAACCTATGGAATGGGGGAAGATATTTGCAAATGACCTATCTGGTAAGGGTTAGTATCCAAAGTCTATAAAGAACTCAACACCCAAAAGACAAAAAATCCAGTAAAAAAATAGAAGACATGAACAGACATTTTTCCAAAGAAGACATCCAGATGGCTAATAGGCACATGAAAAGATGCCCCATATCACTCATCATCAGGGAAATACAAATCAAAGCCACAATGAGATACCACTTCACACCTGTCAGAATGGCTAAAATTAACAACACAAGAAACAACAGGTGTTGACGAGGATGTGGAGAAAGGGGAACCCTCTTACACTGTTGGTGGGAATGCAAACTGGTGCAGCCACTCTGGAAAACAGTATGGAGGTTCCTCAAAAGGCTGAAAATAGAAATACCCTAGATGCAGCAATTGTACTACTAGGTATTTATCCAAAGGATATAAAAATGCTGGTTTGAAAGGGTACATACACCCTGATGTTTATAGCAGCATTATCAACAATAGCCAAACTATGGAGAGAACCCAAATGTCCACTGACTGATGAGTGGATAAAGAAAATGTATTATATATACACAATGGAATATTACTCAGCCATCAAAAGAATGAAATCTTGCCATTTGCAACAACATGATGGAGCTAGAGTGTATTATGCTAAGTGAAATAAGTCAGTCAGAGAAAGACAAAAATAGTATGATCTCACTCATACATGGAATTTAAGAAAGAAAACATGAATACGTGGGAATTGGGGGGGGAGGAGAGAGGGAAATAAACCATGAGAGACACTTAACAATATAGAACAAACTGAGGGGTGCTGGAGGGAGTTGGAGGGGGATGGGCTAGATGGGTGAAGGGTATTAAGGAGGGTACTTGTGATGAGCACTGAGTGTTGTAGGTAAGTGATGAATCACTGAATTCTACTCCTGAAACCAATATTGCACTGCATGTTAACTAAGTAAAATTTAAATTAAAAAAAGATAAAAAAACCACACAAAAATTTAAAAAATATATACACTAGAAGAAGAAGAAGAAGAAGAAGAAGAGGAGGAGGAGGAGGAGGAGGAGGAGGAGGAGGAGGAAGAAGAAAAGAAGAAGAAGAAGAAGAAGAAGAAGAAGAAGAAGAAGAAGA